TATCTATATCTATATCTATATCTATCTATATCTATCTATATCTATCTATCTATCTATCTATCTATCTATCTATCTATCTATCTATCTATCTATCTATCTATATCTATATCTATATCTATATCATATCTATCTATCATCTATCTATCTATCTATCTATCTATCTATCTATCTATCTATCTATCTATCTATCTATCTATCTATCTATCTATCTATTCCTAGTTAAAGTTTTCCTAGTTAAAATTACCGAACCAACTTCATCTAATGAAAATAAAAGTATTTATTAAATTCTTAGTCACAGATAGAAAACAGCATGGGAATGCATTTAAGAACTAGAAGTGCTAGACCACGGAGAGTAACAAGCTATGGAAAGAATTTAAAGCCTGTAATGACTCAATATTTTAACTATTCTAAGTTTGAAAGAAAGCCTGTAATGAGTCAATATTTTGACTGTTCTAAGCTTGAAAGAAAGCACGTATGTTCTTTATTATATTATAACAAATATTTTCTTTCAAATAGCATTTTTTTAAATTGTGGGAGCAACATGGATTTTAGTAGGGCTCTCATTCCAAGTCTTTTGAATACAACCAACCAAGTGTACCACTATGGGCTGTCCCTCATGTAATTACGGGGCATATAGCTACAGTAATAATCAGCACTTGGAATTGCATCTGGAAGCAAATAAGCAAACATTGCAGTTTATAGAATAGAAGTGTCCCATATCTGCATGTTCTAGACCAGCTGAAGCTTCTAAGTAGTTTTCAAGGGTAGCATTTTGAAGTAGTTGAGTATGACTAGGACATGAATGATTATCTGAGGAACCACCTAGTACAGGAAAGGCACAGTTGGTGCATAGAGGTTGCTCAGTAAAGGCTACCTGGCTATAGTTGCCACTTGTTTTTTAAGCAGAAGTTGTGAGCCCAACGGGACCTCCATCCGAGGATATGGATGGAAAGTCCTCAGATCCAGGGGTAAAACATTCTTATTTTGTTAACAAGGTTTGTTTATTTACTAGGTTTATGATTTGAAGAAACTTAAAATCAATAATTATGGATAAAAGTGTAAGCTATACTGAGTACCATAGGGTCTACTTCTGAGGAAGTATACATAGCAACTTCCTCTGACTTGATAGCTTCCAGATGTCTTGGACTGTTCTTCCCATCAGCTCCAGTCACTATGGCCATGCTTGCGTGGAGACACCGAAGACTTTAATTAAAATAAAGTATATATTTTTTATTAAATTATAAAATTTAAAAAAATTGTGTCATTACCTTCTTTGATCCTTGTTCTTCCTCCACACCATCTCCTATGACAACGTAAACTACTTTTCTTCCAAATCTTTGAATTATGCGCTCAAAACAGCTTTCTTTTCCTGGAAAAGTCAAGCATATCATCAAGCCCCAATCTGAGAAAGAATAGTGTAGTTTATTTCAGATTAGGAAGCAGTAAAATGGCTGGTCACATTTTATTTTCTAGTGTAAAATAATCATTCCTGAATTCCTGTATGTAGTAGATAAAATTAAGTTAACTTGATGCTAACATCATTAAATTATAAATGAGCAATTGAAATAATGTTCAAATAACAAAACCACAGATAATAAATGAAATCATAACAAACCATTTAATGATCCAGATCAGAATTATAAATAACAATTAGTTCTAAATAATTATATGATCTGTTTTAACTGCTCAATGCTCAATGACATTTTGGATTTGGAATTTGAAAAGTATGAACTTGAACATGAATAACAGATTCTGTTCATTGTAAACACTCACCTATTTTTGTTGCACTGTAAATATTTTCTATTGGAAATACCACACCCAAACCATACAGCAAGACTTTGGCAAGAGCTGGGATGAGCTGAGTAGTCGTTACTAAAATATTGACACAATTTGTCCTAGAAGAATGTAAAGAAGTATGTTATAATAATCAAATAAATACTGAAACACCATAAGCAAATTATTAGTTTCATTTAAAAACACGGAAGGAAAATTTACTCTGCAATTAAGACTAGAAAGGGTTCATAGATGGAGAAATGATATTCATATGGAATCTAATATACGGTAATTTCAAATTCTCTAGTCTCTGCTCTTTTTCTGGCTCTTGGTTCTTAAGAAGACTGATACTAGGAGGTACCAATTTCGTTGTATCGTAGTACAATGACAATAAAGATTATACTTATCAGACCATCAGTGATAGATATTTAAAGGTAGGGATTGTTCTCAAGAATTGATGGAGAATATTTAGTCCCTATAGTATTAATGCAGATTCTATATTTATTATAGCATTGCTCCCCTCTTTCAAAAAATACCATAAGGAGGTTTATTCTATTCCAATTTCCCATTAATGACCTAGGAAAGAGACTCATTTGGTGATGTTGGTAAACTGCATGAATTTAGTTGGAGTGCTAGTATTCTTGCTAGCTGTTCTGGAAATGCTGTTTTTCATAGCACAGAAACACTGTGTCCCAAGAGCGAACATTTTGTAGTTGGTTGTACAGATCACAATTTAGACATTTGTGGAATGCAGATGTAGTGCTACCTGGGAACCAGGAAACTGTGGATCAGACTGGGAAGGGACTATGTGACTGAGCAGAGTGGTAAGAGTGGAGTCATACATTCCTTATGCAAAAAGAGGAAGAAAAGGACAAGGGCCATTTATGAAGAAAGACTACATATGTCTACATGCCAACTACCTACTGTGAAACTCTGAAATTTGAATTCCAACAAATTCCATTAATGGGAGAATAGACTGGTGGAAGGAAAGCTTGAAAGTCTGCATACATTCCTAGCATGTCCCTTTCTCATCTTGGCAAGCAGTGGAAAGAAAGATTAAAATATATATATAGGGCTTATTAGAAAAGCTTATTAGAACACAAAAAGCTCCTCTTGATAGAAGAGGAGCTTTTTGTGTTCTAATAAGCTTTTTGTGTCATATAGATCCTTTGAAAAAAGAATACAAGCTTTACTGGATTGCTTGAGGGGATATAATATAACAACAGCAGAGGAATCTTGTCCTTATGCTCCATGTTTCAAATGCATGGAAGATAGCACTCATGTTTTCCTTTCTCATGTTTCAAATGCATGGAAGCTAGCACTCGTATTTTACTCTTTTTTGTCCCTTGAAGAAAGCTGGATGATCAGCACGCTATTGGTAAAGCAATGGTGTTTTTCTGACATTGTGTAATTATAGTTTAGAACTATATCTTATATAGAACTATAAGACAGAAACTAAACAGTTATAGGATGCAGTGCAATCGAAAGTGTGAAGATTTATGAAAGAGTGAAGATTTATGAAATGTATGGATGAAAAGAGTAATTGGCTAAATAGGGCTATTACTGGGGGTTAAACTGTTGTATGTGGGAAGGGCTCTGTATACTTTCTTGACTTTGTTGGAAAAGACAAGCTATGAACCGAAGAATAAATTTAATAAATAACAGTTAAATTTTATTGCTATCTTGCCTGGGATATGTAGAAATAATTCTATATAATCAGTTAAATGATTCTATATAATCAATTAAATCTGCCATCACTATCAACTAATCTACTACAGCATGATGCAATAGGGGGGAAATATGAAACAATTCATGTCCACTTTTATAACAACACCACATCAATTCACCAAATTTTAAAATGCCATATTTTAGAAAGCTATAATTTTAATTAAACCAGCTACTCCTAGAAGTGCATAATGTGTTAATTGTAACTTACAGAATTGTGAAATGTATGTTTACATTATATCTCCAATTAGTTTGCATTACTATCTATGTGAAATCTACTTACCTAGAGTGAATTAGTGTGAGTGCTTTCAGTGCAAGTGTTAACCACGAATCTGTAAGGGCTTCAATTTCTGCTCTAAGCTGCAACCAAGCTTCCCTCTTTGCTGGGCCCAGAAGACCTGCCAGGGATGAGTGAGGGAGAACAAACACTGTAGCATTTACATGTCAACTATAATCCCTTACCATGTTTAGAATATAGAATTTACAGCTGTTAAATAGGTGGGGAAACATAACCACAAGATTCAAGATTCAAAAATTTCACACAGTAATGAGACAATAGTTACATGCACAGGGATATTATGGGTACTTGCCTCCAACATTATTTTTATAGGTGTTATAGATTTCTTTTACTCGTCTGTATCGGAAAGCTAGCTTTCTCATCCAATCCACTCCTCCACGCACCCCTGTTGCTAAGCATAGATTAGCACTGGTAGCTGCTGCAGGGAACCCATCTGTCCCGAAGTTATAGGTGCTGTTTTAGAGGTAAGAAAGTTTTAAAAATTTATGTTATACTGACAATTTAGATGAATTGAAAAAGAATAGAAATAACAGTATTCCAAAGTTATTATAAACAAGCAGCAAACAAGCAAGCAAACAAAAACTTCTACTTTTTTAAACACAGTCCTAAATGTACCTTAAATCCTGGCCATTATCATCTGATGAAACATCATCAATATGAACTTGGTCACATTCCTATAATAGAGGAAAATACACTATGTTTACTTTAATTTGCCAATTGCAATACAAGAAATACTAACAATTTTTAAAGTCATGCAAATCAACAATCATATTTACTTTTTATATTGCTATAGGTGAATTCATAAAAGTAATTTTAGACACTATTCTTACAATTTCAGAAAAAAACTGCATTTGGAAGGAAAGTTGTTAAAATAATTATGTACATTCTTATACATTTTCAGCCACCCTCAAGTTTTAAGTTATTCCAAAGGATTTTCAGGCAGTGCGTGTGTATAACTCAAACCAGACTTCTTGGTAAATGTAACTTATTAGAAAAATTAAATATGATGCTAACCACCAATGAAACTATGACCTCTGATTGCTGTTGAACCACACACTAACACAGCCTGAGGCTTACATTTTAGAAGAGTGCAGACAAAAAAGAAAAAGTTATTTGTTTTCCACTGTTTTTGCATTTTCTAAAAAGCAAACCCAGAGTAAAGTAGAAACACTTTGAAGATTTTCAGAATGCTTTAATTTACTTCTTAAAGTCACTGCATAGAAAAAGTCCCTCATATGTATAATATTGATTTATCTGCCTATAATTGGACAAATGAATATACATTATTATCACAACATTAAACAACAGAATCACTACTACTGTTTGTACTGATATTTTACTGCTGTTTTATTTATAAATAAAACATCTCTCAGGATTGTGTTTAACTCCAAAGTCTATTGCTTCTTTGTTTTAAAAGTTATAATGTGAATACCAATAGCAAAGATGATCAATTTGTAAAGCTGTAATACTCTAGAGCTGCATATTTCTGTGTTACTGGTTCTCTCTGAACACTTTTTTTCAATCTCTCTATGGGCTTGGAAGGAGGGAGGGAGCTAGAAGTGGAAAGAAACTCAAAACAGCTGTTCTCTAACAGAATTAAAATCATGACCCTTAACCTTTGTTTTAAAAAACATCTATTTCTCAGTCAACCCTCTCCCAGCAAGCAGTGAGTTCCAAGGAGGAAAAGACTTTGACCCCATAACCTTCTTCACCTCTCCTGAGGTCAACAACCTCAGATAAGAAAAAAAAAGAAGAAGAATGGCCTCACATGATGACTATGAGTGTAAGTCTTTTAAATAGAGAAAACACAAGATACCTTTAAAATAGCTGAAACAGCATTAGGACTTAAATATTGAACAGGTAGGATGAGAAAAGAAAGATTGGATAAAACAAAACAAAACTGCTACAAACTGTCTGAAGTTTAGTAAAACCAAAATTACAACTTAAAAAATAAAATAAAAATAATTATTTCAAAATTTACATATTTTTCATACAAAGTTTGCTAATACAATTTCATACATTTATTCTGATTAAAATTATGTTCCATTGTTGAAACAGAAATCAGAAACAAATAGAACAAAACACTCTCTAAGAGTCTTAGAATAGGGAAAACAATTCAAAACAAACATATGTAAAAAGGCCAAAAGAAGAATGATTGTGACAGAAAAGGAGAGAAAATGTAAAGAGAAGCCATTCTCAATTAAGAAGACAAAAGTAAAAATCAAAGCAGGAAAATTAGTCAGCAGGATCAATGTTTAGAATCCACTACAAAAGACAGGTAGAAAAGGAAACAAAGTTTCGTTTACTCTGAGAATGATGAATAAATAAATACAGAAATAATTGCACAAGAAATTGAACTGACAGAATCCATTTAAATCTTCATTAATCTATTATATCTATTTTCTAAATATCCTGTGCTTGGATTATTATTATTATTATTATAGAAAGATTATTATTTCTATTATAGAAAGAGGTATTTGTAGTATTGTTCAGTACCTAGGTTAAGTACAATTTTCACTTTCAATAGGTTTCAAGACTTAATTTAGCAAACCTTGATTTGCTAAACTGGGACAACTGAGATTTGATTCATATCCAATTCACGGACTGACAACTAGACAATCCTTTTATTTTCATCAGTATACTTTTAGAAATTGACTGACTGACAATTTCAAAGGCTTTTAGAAAGTTCTGATGCATTTTAAATTACCAAACACATTTGTAAAAGGAATTAAATAACAATAAAGTTATGTGTATATTTATAATTAAAGCAAATAGCTACTCTTTAACATAAAAGTCTTAGACTCTATCTAGAATTCTAAACATAGAAAACAATATTATCTAAGAAAAATGTGAAACCTTTGTAGAAATACCATTATTTCTTGTTTTTAAGTTTTTAAAAAAAATCAATATTCTGAATTTAAACTATGTCAATACAAGGATCCCTCATTTTAACCCTGAGCTACAAATATTCTCCTTTATTGGAATGTCAATAGATTATGCCAAGTCTATAATTTAACTATAATTTGTTAAACGTAAATAAGCTATAACAGTCCATTAAAACTAAACTACAATAAAAGATAGAAAGTATCCAAAACGGATACAGGGATACTTTGTGAACACTGTTCGAAACAAATTTAAATGAATAAAAGATAATACTAATTGATATGACAAGCTGAAGTCACTGAATTAGTAAAAGAAAAGATAAAGATTCTGAAAGAAGGCTCAAATTAGAAAGGGCTACATTTTGCAAAAGTAAATGCTAAATGTGTCAATAAGCAGTGATAAGTGCATGTATAAGTTGGTCTCCAGAAACCATATTTCCTTCATAGACAACATTTGGTTCCTCAGTAATTAGTAGATAGTATTTATCTCTATGTTACACAGAATGAAGGGAAGACTAAAACTTCTTCAGATAGGAAAGACTGAGACTTACTTTTGCAAGAATCTAACTAACTATACAAAACAATTAGTTTACATTTTTACAAATTTAAAATAAAAGTTGAACATTATCTCAACATTTGCTTATAAATATATAACTAAATACAAAATAGGAAGTGGAAATTCGTAGTTGACTTTCTCGTGAAGTAGGATCATATGGTACATATATTTACATCATTTTATTAATTTATATGTTCTTCAAATGTCTAGTGACACAGGAATACAAAATCTATTTTATTCTTCATTGTACTTCATTGTACTAGGAAAAGTAATATAACAACAAATCTTGCAACTTCCAAAATCATGTTATCTGATTTGATTAAATGATAACATGTGCTTCAAATAGATAAAATAAATGTAAAGCAAAGACATTCTCAGGCAAAATGAAATGAAGGACATAGAAAGTCACTAAATACCTCTATATTTGATTAAAAAGGATAATACAAATAATATTACCAATGTAACCTCTTCTGAGAATTGGAAATCATTACAGACTACAGATCCAAACATGCGGATCATAGTTAAAATGCAGTCTTGTGTTTGCTTAATCTTCCTAATTTACCATGAGAAAGCTAACACCATGCTGTCAACTAATTGTTTCAGTGATTTGCTTTACAAAGTAAAACGAGCTGACAGGGAAATGCTCCATCAAAACTAGCTCTTTTCCTCTATCCTTTACACATCACAGTGTCCTTTGAGACTTGCTGGAGTTTGGCCAACTCATAGGAAATGATCAGTGGATTCTCTGTTCCCCACCTATCTGTCATTATGCAATTATCTTCCTGTTTCATTTTTCTCTATTGAACGAACAGTAGAGAAATTTGGTCCAAGTATGTGTGAGAACAAAATGTTTAAAACGGCAAAAGTTACATATCTGCAAAAATCTCTGCTTAGTAAACAAAAAAAAAACAAACAAAAAAAATCCCAGCACCTTAAATTCAGAACACATATTTCAAAGAAAGAGAAGAACCTTAAATTCAGAACACACATTTCGCCTTAAATCCAGACACATATTTCAAAGAAAGAGCTATATTTTTGTTTCCAAAATATGAATATACCATAATCATTTATCAAACTTACTAAAGTAAATGGATTGTTTCCAATTGAAACAATAGCAGGTATGTGAAATGATGTACAGTTTATTCCATTTCTTTCCAGTTTTTCTTTTTCCTTGTTGTCTTACCTACTGACCCATTTGAAAGGTGTAAACCTACAGATATGTATTTTGTTGTTAATATTTGTTTTCTAAATTGCATGGGGTGTTCATCTGACAAAAACTGTTTCTGTTCCAGAAAGCACATTCAAATTTGTATAATGCCTATTTATTGAAACACCAGTAATTGATAGTATTTTGAAGAATACATTTTTCTTCATACTAGAAAAAGAACAGGAATATTCACACAAGGATAACACTGAATCAATTTTCAAATACTCAAGTGCATAGATTTGTAATTTGCATAATACCCTTAATACATAGGCTATAGTTCTATATTTATTAGTCTGGACATAAAATCCATATTTAATGAAATTTGCAATTGAGCAACATGCATGGTTGGTAGTGGTGGGCAGAAGACAAGATGTGTATCCATCCATAGATATCTTGATAAAATGCAGTAGCTTGACAAGGATTTTTCATTTCCAATAGTTTAACAGCAGCACTAAATATCCAAAATTATAATATTGGAATGAAAAAAATGAGTAGATTTTTGTGTTCATAATAGATTCATAATAAAACTTCTAGGCTTAGGATTAATACCTTTTAACTTTGATTCTTCAATCTTAGTGGGATATCTAAAGAATCCACAAGTTATCAAAATGCAAAATGGTACATATTACTAAATAAAAAATGAAGTCATATTTGTCCTTGCAAAATGGCCAGATAAACAATATCATTGGATCAAAAACCCCACTTTTTAAAGCGTTCAGAATTGCCACTATGTATGAAGTTCTGCCTAAAACTGACTCAAATTTTAGAAAATGATTGCAAGTTAGTAAATCCTAAAGAGTTCTTGAAAGTTTTTAAAAAATAAGCAGATGGATTACATCTATTATTTACTTTTATAATTGAAATACCCAATTCAGTTTGGGTCAGTCCCATGTTCTGGGACTGCAGCTAAAAGCTGTTCCAAAGTTTGCTCGAAAATTAACATTTTAACATTTCTCTTCTCACATTTTGCAGATATAAATTCCAGTGCTTAGAATCAATACAATCTATGTACCTAACATAGATCCCTTG